AACTGCAGTTGACTTCCTGCAGCAGCCAGGTGGAAGGTGCACAAAGGTGCCAATGCCTGGCCCCCACCCAGTCCCACCACCGCCGTGGCTTGCTGCCGTCGCTGGTCGGGGAGAACCCGGCACCGTGCAGGCCCCGCTGTCCACCTGCTCCGATGCTCTGCCGGTTCACTTGCCTGTGAGCGCCAGAGGGTGGCACCCCAGGCACTTGAAGGGGAGAGGAGGGAGGGAGAGCACTGCAGGGGATGGGGAACTGATAATTCTCAGGCTCAGGACTGGAGCTTCAAGCGGATTTGGAGCCCACCCACCTCTTTACGGAATAAGCGGGCTTCTGCCAGGCTAAGTGTCGCAGACTCAGGAATTTCTAAGATGAAAAAGGCTTGCTAGAGTTATTCATGAGCAGTGGCCTCCACCCTCCTGGTCCCAGGAAATCCGGCCTCTGGGTGTGCTGGTGCTTGGGAGTGGGCGTCGAGCGGCTGTGAGTGATACAGTCCCTGACCTGTCCCTTTGTGTCTTGCTTTGCAGTTGCTGGATTCGTGTGACTCCGTGAGGGATGATGCCCTGAGGGTGATCTCCACCTTTAACATTCCGCACACCTCCCTGCACGCGCCAATCGCCGGAATCATCAACCCGCTGGCAGCCTGGGCCTTTTACCCCGCGCCGCCGCAGCCCGGGGCCCGTGAAGGAGCACGCTCCCCGCGGGCCAAACCTGTTGCCAAGTTATAGCGGGCGTGGCTGCAGCGTGGTGGCCCGCCCGCAGCTGCCACCAAGTCGCTTCTCTGGCGCCCGGAGCTGGAGCTGAGGCCGGGCTGGCGCGCTCGTGGCGGTGATGTGGGGGTCCCGCCGAGGCTGGCTAGGCGCGCGCCGGGCTGTCGGGAAGGGGGTGCGTGCGATGCTGCGCCCTGTCCCTGTAACCCTACCGCCGGCGCCACCTCTCTGGCTTCGGCGAGACCCACTCCACAGAGTGGGCTCCCTGCGAGCGCGCCCCACGGCCCGGTGCCAGCCAAGGTCTCCCGCTGGCAACGGTGACTCAGATTCCCAGTGATTTTGAAAAACTGTGGTGTTGTGTGAAAAAATAAAATCAAAGCACAGAAATCAAACCCCCGCGGGAAGAGGTTCAGCTCAGCGAGCGACATGTCTCCAAGTGAGTCACAGCCTCCCCGACTCTGCGAGGAAGCGCGGCCAGTCGGGAGCCTGAGCCCGGTCAAGCTCCGCAAGGCGCCAGCTCGGCTGGGCTTCCCGGCCGCAGGACAGCGCGCGAGAAACGTCTTTACCAAGCGCAATTGTACTGTTCTTGAGCAGAGCGCAGACATCACATTTAATAAAGAAATGACGCGACGCGAAGGTGCTCCCGCGGCTTGCAGAGGGTGAGGAGACACTACCCGGCGACGCCAGTCCGCCCAACGAGGGCCGCGGACTTTCCATGTCTCAGGTACCCGTGGCCCTTTTGGTCCCAGCCATCCTCCGTTCTCCAGCTCCACGTGTCGTGGAGGAGGCACTGCTCCGCTACGCTCGTGTCCGCAAGGGTGCCATGCGGGACCAGAGCTGGGACCTGATGCCTGCTGCCCTTCTTACGCTGCCCCTACCTCTAGGCTCCGGGCCGGGTTTCGGGAGGACCTCTGGACGCTGCTGCAGGACAGGGCGGGAAGGGTTCGCGGTCACCGGCTGGGTGCTGGGGCCCAAGCTCCCCAGCAGTCTGCGTGGCGCGAACGTATAAGAGCGCTTAACCGCTTGCTTTCGCCGATGCCTTTGTTTTTTGGTGTTCACCTGGTTGCTGGAGCGGGCGGCGCGGGGGCGGCGGAGCAGCACCGGAGCCGACTACACCACCAGGGCTTCTATGCGTTTCTTTTCCGGCCCCTGCCTGCCTCGCCCAGCCCCACGGAGAGAGCCGAGCACCATGGAGCGCGGCGGGTTGGGGCTCCCAGCAGGTGCTGCCGGTTCTGTGTGCCATGCCGGAGTTCGCCTGCGGCGGCCACCTGCGGTCACGGACGAACGCTCCAAGCCGCGGTCAGGATAGCCCTCCGGTCTCTGCGTCCACGCGGCCGCATCAACGGCCCTGTCCTTTCTCTCCTGCAGCAAAATGCCCTCCAGGAACCCCTGGCCGCTCACTCACGACTCGCGGGAGGACGCGCTGAGACTAAACTGGGGCTGTGCTGTCACACTGCCCTTCTATATCTGGTTACAAACAAAAACTGACCAAGGTGGCCTGACGGCGAGACAACACTGAGGACCTTTCCTTCTCTGTTTCGGGGTGCCGATTAGGGCGGCCCATAAATTGAGTTTCTTTAATCTGTCTAGCCTGGGCTCCCCCGCGACAAAATGTCCCATCTCCCCCACCGGCCTCGCCCTAACTCCCGCACCGCGGTATCTCAAAGTCCAGGGAACGCAGGACGCGCGAGTACAGGTGGTGGTGCGGACCTGAGGAGGAGGGGGACAGGGAGCACAGGGCGGAGGGTAGGGGGTACCTGCACCCCCACAGCATTCTACGCGCGCGCCCGAACCCCCGGACGCCTGTACCGGCCTCAGCACGCCGAGGGAGGTTCCTGGGCGGTTCTCTGAGCCTAACAAACCTCGAGGATCCCAATCCAGCGGAGGCACCACCCTCTCCCCCAGTTGGAGGCAGCGGCTCTTCTCGGTCCTTTTTTTTCCTCAAAAGTGTTGTGGGGTTTTTTTCCAAGTTCATTTTTTATTTCTCTATTTACCTGCTCGGTGCGCGCTCGCCTGCCGCCTCGCACCGGAGCTGCAGAAAGAGGCCTTGGGGAATCGCTCGGCGCGCCTATTCTGGTCTCTGCCCCCAACAAGGGCTCCGCCGCTTAGCGGAGGTTCGGCACGGAAAAACGCTGGGTGCCCTTGCGAATGCCATGAGGAGGGAGCCCCAGAGTGTGCAGGGGGCTAGGGCGAGGAAGATGAGCAGCCTGCAGATGGGTCCCGCTGGGAGCCGGGACTCTGGGAGTGAAACTGCGCAGAGGCCCCCTGCTACACTGTAGGACAAACCGTCCTTGCGCCTGCCCCAGGGCGGCTGAAAAACTCCCGCAGCCGTTCCAGGGCTCAAAGGCGCCTCCTGAGGCCCCGCGTGCGGCAGCTGCGCGACCCGGTCCGCTCAGTGTACCCGGAGCGCCCCCTCTGTTTCACGCGCACACCACGGCGGCTGCCGCCGGCGGCTGGGGGGAGAGGCAAGGTTGCATATTGGGGTGGGGGATGGGTGCACACACTGCTGCTGGCAGCGTAAGTCACTCACTCGGTAAACACGCCGGGCAGGGGCAGGGCTGGGCGGGCGGCGCGCGCAGAGGGAACCCTGCAGGCCGCCCCGCCTATACCTGCTGCAGCCCGCACGCGCCTGGGCCGCCGCGCCAAAGGGCGGGGTTGGCCAGCGCGGGGCGGGCCTTGGCGGGGGCGGGGACCACGGTGATTGGGCGCGGGCGCGGGGCCGCGGGCTGGAGCTGGGCTGCAGGGCCGCGCAGGTTTCACTTCGCTCTGCGCCGTCTCCCGGTCTTAAACTCTTCGGATAGCTCCGTCCCGTGTCACCGCCGCCGCCGCCGCCAGGTCCTCGCAGCTGCCGGGCGCGTCCTGCCCACTGCGGTCAGCATCGCCTCGGGCTGCTCGGTTCGCCCCACTCCTGTCACCACCGCCTTGGCGCCTTCCCCTGGCCCGCGCCCCCCCAATGTCTGACTCTGACTCTCGGACTGAGAAACGCAAGGTAAAATACCTCCGGATCAGGGACGGGTGGAGGACGCGCTGGAGCCACACGCTGCACCTCCTGCCCGCTTCCAGCGCACGTGCTGGCCTAGAAACACATTCTCGTCCTGCTTGTCGCCTGGTGGGAGGCGGCGATCGGAGCGGGTAGGGGCCCTACGCCCAGGCAGGTCCACTTGGGGAGGGGTCGTGCTCGCAGAGGCTGTGAGCGCTTAGTGGAAGTGTGGCCCGGGCCGGGATGCGGCGCGTGGGATGGTGCCGCGTCTCAGGCCGCTGGAGAGGTAGCGCGCGCCCTCGGCGTCGGCCTGGGAGCTGAGGCCGCTGTCCTGTGTGAGCTGCGCGCCTTGCCGGGGAGTATCACCCGCTGCGCGGTACGAGCCGGTCTCGGGTCTGCGGGCTGTGTGCGGAGGATTTGAGGAACTGCTGGGGATTAACTGACGAGACTCGGCTTTTCGTTACGCACATGCAGGCCGAGGGGTCGGGGCAGCCGCTGCGTCCACTCTCGGACGTGTCCTGGGGCTCTGTCCCGTCCGTGGGCGCCCTCCGACGATGCCAGGCGAACGAGCCACGGACAGCGAGGGACCAAGGGCCTCCTCTACCGCCGGAGCCACGCGGTGGACGAGCGTGGACCTGCTCCGTCCGTGGGTCCCGGCGGTCTTAGCGATCTGGGCGTGCCCGAGCGCAGCCCGACCGCTTGCGGTGCTGCTGGCGGTGCCGTCCCTCGGGGCAGGCGCTGGGACGCCGGGCATGGGGGTGTGGATGTGCTGGTTGTCTGCCGTGGTCACGGTGCGCGCGAATATGCGCGCCCGGGGCCGGTGCTAGCCGCTCGGATTTGGTGCGTGGCCGCGGCACACGGGAAGGAAGAGGGAGGAAGTTGGGAAGGATAGATGCTGCAGCAGAGGAGGGGAGGCCTCTAGGGCCCTCTCAGCAGCGGGCCTGGGCAGGGGACGGCGGCAGGCGTAAGTAAGACGGGTCTGAGGACGGCCTGTGGCTGCTGCTTTGTTTCTAGGTGACCAGCTTCTCCGGGCGCCAGGAGACGCCGAGGCGCGCGCGGAGTCGGGACGGGCAGAGGGACTGGCGGGGTGGATGAGCCGCCCGGGTCCCGAGGCCCCGACGCCGCCGCTGCCACTGGCAGCCCAGCGCTCGCAGGCGAGTTTGTCAACAATCGCGTCGCCTCTGGCGGCCTGGCCGGTAGGCGCCGCCCCCGCCGCGGTCGGCGATTGGCTAGGGTGCGGAACGAGCGCGCACCGGCCAATCGGGAACGAGGGCACCGGCGCCAGAGGCGCTGGGAGGCGGCGGAGCCGGCGGCGGCGGGCGCAGAGCGCGAGGGGAGGAGCGGCCGAGGGAGGATGTTCCCGGCGCGCGGAGCCCTGGGCGGCCCGGCGGAGCACGGCGGCGGGCGCGTGGCCAGCTGCGGGCTCTGCGCCGCCCCGCGGGCTCTGAGCGCGGGTACCGGGCTTTGTCTTGCGAGCCGCCTTCGTGGTGACGGTCTGGGGGCTCCGGGTCGGCGAAGGGCGCGGGCCGGACGCCGCGGGGCCCGGGCCCGGACGCGACGTTCGGAAGTGAAGGGGCGGACGTGAGTTTCGGCCTGCAGAGGGAGGGTCTACTGGGTGAAGAGGACGCGCGCCCGGGGTCGCCTAGCGCGCGGGGTTACGGTGAACTTGCAGGGGCACCCCGGCGGGTTTCGGGGATCACCCCCATTTGGAGGTGTGCAGTTAACAATGCGGGTGGACTTGGGGGAAGTTTTGCCGGGGTGTGAGCGGCGCGCTGCCCCCGCGGGCGGGAGCGGGCCGGGCGGGCTCGGAGTTACAAACTCTATTGTGACGCACTTACTACGACGGACGGCCCTTGCCAAACCTCCCCAGACTTGCTGCCCTCAGCACTTTCGGCAGAACAATGGGGCCGGAGCGGGGAACGCGGCCAGCCGCCTGCAGTCGCTGCCTCTGCGCGCGCTCCTGAGCCCCAGTGCAGCGTCTGGCCCCGGGAACCAGCCCGCCCGGCTTCTGGCATAGTCAGTCGCCCGGAGCAGAGCCTTGGGGTTGACTTCGGACGCGCTGCCCGTCCTAAAACGTGTGTGTGTTCCAGCAGCAGCTCCACACGTCACTGACGTTCTCGGTGTTTGGTTTGGTAGCCAGAAGTTTAGCTCTCCCACCCCCAACACAGAAAATGATACCTTTGTTATTTTAGGTGTATTTTTATTCTTACTTAGAAGATTGTCAGAAATACACGAAGTAATGAAGTTTCTTTAACAAAGTTAAAGCGTTTGGTATTAATTTTTAACGAGTAGGTGAAAGGTCGCTAATTGAGTTACCCATGATTATTATTTTGCTTAAGGTAATCTTAGTTTTATTTTACTTGCAGAAAAAAAGACCAAATGGCAAAGCAACCTTCCGATGCAAGTTCTGAGTGTGACAGAGAAGGTGGACAGTTGCAGCCTGCTGAGAGGCCTCCTCAGCTCAGGCCCGGGGCTCCAACCTCTGTACCGATAGAACGGCAAGGTAATCCTGAAGGTGAAGGGGACCGCTGCCCCCACAGCAGCCCTCAGGGCCCACTGGCCCCGCCTGCCAGCCCCGGGCCTTTTGCCACCAGATCCCCGCTCTTCATCTTTGTGAGAAGATCCTCCCTGCTGTCCCGCTCCTCCAGTGGGTATTTCTCTTTTGACACAGACAGGAGCCCAGCACCCATGAGTTGTGACAAATCAACACAAACGCCGAGTCCTCCTTGCCAGGCCTTCAACCATTATCTCAGTGCAATGGGTAAGCCACTCTGGGTAAGGGACTGTGGACGTGTGGTTGTTTGAATATCTGCTGAAAGGCTGCATGTAGCATTTATAGACCCTTTTAGAACCTTTTTACTGATTTAGTCTGTGTTTTGATGGGAATGGAGACTGTGTCCAATAAAACATCAAACCCATATTTAAAAAAAAATATTACCAAGTTTTGTGGAAATGATGAGGTGAGGTCCAAGCGTCAGGTTATTGGGCTGCAAAGATGGAGTCCTGCTACCTTATAAGTGTATGACATGGCGTGTTCTTACTTCTTGATGACATTCCACCTGGAAGGGACTTGGTCAGTTACAGCAGATAACATAACCAAAAGTGTGAAGAGATGGGACAAGTTAATTTCAAAAACGACATTTTAGAAAAGTAAACTCATTTATACAGGCAATGACTGCAGAGAACCATCAGCATGATTTGTTTTCTACTCAGATTCTTCTTCGGGCTTATTTTGTTAGCTCACAGAGTTTGGGCATAGTCCTAATGACATTAGATTGTGGGTTTTTATTTCAGGGATTAAAGGCAGTTTGGGTTCTGAATGAACCAGGAGTGGCAGACGTCAGTGCTCAGAAAAACCTGGCAGCACCGTCAGTGAGGGGGCTGATCTGATGGGATTGGGGTACACTGGAGAGCATTTGTCCCTCTGAGTTAGGGCAGCCCCCAGGGTGGTCCTGAGAGTGTGTGGCCTCAGTGCTAGGTTTTCCTGTATTGCAAGATAATCCAAAAATGCAGATTCTGGTGCCAAAAATCCTGATGTTTAAACATTGGCAACCAATTTAGAACTTTGAAAACACTGTTCAAGCCAGATACAACCATCTGTGGGCTTCATTAGACCCTTCACCCTCCGGCATATGACTGAGTATGGGCAGTGAAGGGGTGAGCGTATAGGTTCAAGCCGCAGTTCCTGCTGATGGGAAAGGCCATGTTTTCATCAGGACCCACCAGGTTCTCATTCACCACTGGTGCAGACTAGTCCAGTCTGCAGGTCCGGCCTGCGGGAGCAAGATAACGCCAAGTTGGCAGGCAGCGCTATCGATTAAGAAGTCCAGTATTGATTCTATTCAAATGCAGGTGACACAAAGTCATCAGAGGAGACACCTAAATGCAGGAACACAATGACAAACGTTGCATTTGCAAATTCTGTAGGGCTTAGTCTTCATAACCTTCAGTGAGGTGACAGCCGTGTAGGCTTGTCCCGATGTCACAGAGAAAGAGCCTCAGAGGGTTGGTCACTTGTCAGAGGCTGGGCACACCTGGGACATGGCAGGCACAAATGACAAAAACAGCAACAGCTGCATATGTTGGCTGCACGTCTCCTGCTAAATGCTGAGAGATGCAGTCAGCCCTCTGTAGTCACAGCTTTCGCATCCGAGGGGGTCAACCACCTGCGGATCAAAAATATTTGGGGGTAAAAAACAGAAAGTTCCAAAATACAAACCTTGAACTTGTCACCTGCTGAGCCCTGAGCAGGGTCCATGCATGTGAGGTGACGTGCAGGCACGCCCTGCACCTGTGTGCAAGTACAGGCTCTGCGCCATTTTAAAGAAGGGACTTGACACCTATGGATTTTGGTGTCTGTGGGGGTCCTGGAACCAATCCCCAGGACACTGAGCTGGCTGCAACTGCTCTTTACTGGGACCCCTCCTTAGGGAAAGGAGCTGTAAGTGTTGTCAGTGCTATTACCTTAGTTGTTGCTATCGGCACTGCCCCTGAACTCAGTTCAGCCTTAGGAGTTCTTGGTGCTTACATGTGTTTTTCTGCTTATGTAAATGCCACCAAGTTTGTGAACCCACAGAATTTCTGCTCCCTAAATGCGTTGGCAGGGCTCAGTGTTAACGGGGAATGTGTAAACCAAATGTTTAAGGGGCCTTCAGAAGCGTGTTTTTCGCTGCCGGCCGGTGAGCCATTCTCTGCAGGTGGTGTCTTAATGCACAGAAATGGCCCCTCCTGTCCTGTGACCAGGAGCAGTGGATGAGTTTGTGTGTTTTCTACTGGAATGGCAGGTGACATGCTCTGCAGCCTGCTAATTATAAGCTGTAAGCACCGTTACTCGAGAAGACAGGGAGAGAACTTTAGAGATCACAATGTAAATTATTAGGCACAGTTATGGTTACGCCTGCAAAGTACAGTGATGGGTCCCGAGGTGTGATTTTTATCGCATCAACTACGTTTCAGTGGGTGAGTGTGATAACTGAGTGCATAGGATTAAATGATAAGTTGCGTGAGGTGTGTGTCTGAAGTTAACACACCAAGTTAAGTTTCAGGGTTAGTTCTTGAGGAGATTGGTGGGGAGTGGCTGCCGTGGGGAGGGGGCCCCAGGCAGGCTTGGTGGGGACAAGGCAGTCAGATATGGGCGTTGAGGGGAGAGGAAGTTTGTAGGCTTTGTGGTCCATCCCATTCTCTCTGGCTGACGTGACAATAGCTTGGTGCCTGAAGGTCCCTGAAATGTACTGACTTGGCATATTTGATTCTGTTCTCTTTTTGGCCGTGTTCAGTGTTCCTTACCCAACCACATCCATTAAGATCGTCAATGAAGCTTTTGATAATTTATGGCAGAATCCATTTTTCACAAAGCAGTCTTTGTGATGGGTTCCCAGCAGTGGGGTGCAGACATGAGGTTAGGAAGGGGTTCCCCTTAGCCCAAGGGTACCTTTGTCCACAAACATCCTGCCTGGCAACTCGGTGGAGAACAGCATATGGCAGTGTCATCCGGCATCTTTGTCCTGCTGAGAAAGTACATCCTATGTGGGAATCACAGCAACTACATGTCCCACTAGAAACGCCTTTGTCTTTTCCTCCACACCCCTGACTTTTCTGATGATACGCTCTGGGAATGTTCTGTGTGTCCATGAGACATGATCATTTTTCCACATGACTGAGTTTCAGTGTCCTCGCACCTGGGAGGATGGAGTGGACGGATGCTCTCTTAGTGAAGGCCTGGTGATTTTAATAGAAATTGCAGGGGTGTTAGGTGGCTGAGTGCCTTTTCTGGTAACGTGCTGACATTGGGTGTGTTTTTAAAGAAACTGCATGAAATGCTGTGCAAAATCACAATTGAAGGTGCAGTCAATGCCATTGTGAGTACTGGTTGAGAAAGGCCAGGATGGGTGAATGCTAGTTTTTCATTCCCCCATGTCATTTCCGTGAGCGACTGGAACTTTATACTTGTCCCTGGCACATGGGAATTCCCAGGTGGGAGTAAATGGTGTTCTCCATGTCCCCCACCATCTCCTGCGTGCTCCCCTTGGAGCTGGTCCTTAGGTTGTCAGCTCTCTGAGGGGACATCCTGCAGATCCCCATGAGGGCCTGACGCTCGGAAGCTCTGCTCATTAGCTCTTCCAGGGACTTCCAGAGAGCTGCCTGAGGACACACATTTCCAAAAACATCTGATAGCCAGAAAAAGACCTTCCCCAATAATTTATTATTTGGATATAGCTATAAGGTTTGTCACGTAGGGGTCACAGGTAAGGTCTAGCTGAGCACAGGCTTTGTAGGGAAGTCACAGGTGTCACTGAGCCTTCAGGTGGGACTCATTCAACATAGATGTGCTGTCAGTGTCAGTTCATGTGGGAATCGAAGCCTTAGTCCAGGAAGAAGAGTGTAAGTGTCCCGCTGGTCATTTTCATACTGATATATGTTGGGGTAGTTTCAATATATTGGGTAAAACAAAGATACATTTTTTATTATGGTAAAAACAAAAGATTGTTACATAAGATTGACCATCTCAACCATTTCTAAATGCACATTTCAATGGTGTTAAGTACACTCATGTCATTGTGCAGCCAATTTCCAAATTTCTCATCTCATAAAACCAAAACTATACCCGTTAAACAATGGCTCCCCATTTGTGCCCACCCCCTCACCCCCCATCCCCCAAGCTCCTGGCAGTTTATCTGTGTCTGAGATTTTGACTCTTCTGGGGACATCATAGAAATGGAATCCTCTAGTATTTGTCCTTTGTGACCGGCTTATTTCACTGAGCACGATGTCCTCAAGGTCCATCCAGGTGTCGGAATGTCCTTTTTTAAGGCTGACTAATATTTCTCTGTGTATATCCATTCATCTGTCGATGGACACGGGTTGCTTCTATCTCTTGGCCATTGTGAATAATACCGCTGTGAACACGGGGGTACAGATGTCTCTTTGAGATCCTGCTTTCATTTCTTTTGGGGTACATAAGTCGGTGGTACTGTTGAATCTCATGGTAGTTGTAGTTTTAGTTTTTTGAGGACCCTCCATTCTGTTCACCACAGTGGCCACATCAAGTTTACATTCTCACCAACACTGCAGCGGGGTTCCCTTTTCTCCACATCCTTGCCAGCACTGTTGTTTTCTGTTGGCTGGTTTTTTTTTATAGTAGCCATCCTGATGGGTATGAGGTGTATCTTGCTGGTTTTGGTTTGCATTTCCCTGATGATCACTCGGTTGGTTATCTTTTCATGTGTGTGTTGGCCATTAAATATATTTTTGGTATTGTACCTGTTTGTGTGGCTACTAGAAAAATGTCGAATGAGGTGTGTAGCTGGCATTGTTTAGCAGCCAGATTTATTCTTCCCGCTCAAAACACACCATTTCCGTGGAACTTAGTCCTTTGGTTGCTCTGGTTGACTTGGGGAGTGACAGTACGAGCATCTAACACCCATGAGCTTTGCAGGGGCCGTGTTCTCCAGGCAAGTGTGAGTGTCAGTTTTGTTTCACCTCTTTAATATCATGGTAATGTGGCCTTGAAAAAATGGAAGGCAGGTGGGTGGTTTGTTGCCTCAGGCACCTCGAGGCCACCCAGGTGTCGTTTGTGAAGACTGGCTGTCACTAGCATGGACACCAGGACCGAAAAGTACGCTTTATAGGTCCTGAGGATAGAAAGTGACAAAAGAAATTGGAAATTTTCTTCACAGGTTCCAAACAAACTTAAGTGATCAAGAGCTGTCTAGACTGTTGTAATTTTATACCTTTTTAGAAAACACTATATTGAGATAAGTA